TAAAATATTTGTGAAATTTAATTTTATCAACGGATATATCCATCGATAATTTATAATTAATCACCGTCGGTACTTAGCTGTCCGTATTTGTGGACTCTTTTTTTACTCACCCTTCACCTAATTTCCTCCGCACCTTCACCTCTCCACCCCAACAGCCCCTCCTCTCCCTGCCTTCACCTTATGCCCCAGCCTCCACAATCCAAGTCTCCTCTCGTAACCTACATCCAATTGTAGCACACCACACTTCGCGATCGTCTCCACCCATTCCCCATTAGCAACCTCCATCACCCTTTCGTGGCACAGACCCCATCACCCCCAACGCACCTCCTCATTGTGCCACTGTGAATTGTCATACGTGGCCTTCGCGGCTCGTGCCACCCCAAAACCGCCATCACAGCCCAAACTTCCGCAAGCCACCACTCAGCGCCACCGCGAACTTTTCGTGAGCCACCTTCCCACTCACGCCGCAACTACCGTTAGTGGTGTCCTCTGGGCAGCGTTGAGCCCCCTGCTTGAAGGTGAGGCCGGGATCTAACTTCCCTGTGGAGCCCCCTGTTTTGGGTTTCATTTGTTTGATTTTTTTGCTTTATGTTTCTACCTTATTTTGCTTTTGAATTTTTTTTGATAGAGGGTTTTACTTCTGATGGTTTAGTTTTGTTGATTTTTAATATCTTGGATGTTTCTGTTTTTGATTTGGGGTTTGTCAAATGTTGTGTAATGTCATGTGTCATTCTAGCTTGGTTTTGTTCAGTTTATCTAATTGTGGATAAGGGCTGCTAGGAATTTCATATTGTTATGCGCAGGTTTTTGATATGTTGATTGATTCTGATGGGTGAATTAGTCTATGCAGAATTTCTTGTTGAGTTCCTTGGTTGCATGTTGTTGGTACCATCACACTTTTAGAATTAGACTTAAAATAGGTGGTGCTATTATTGTTTGTTGAAGTGGTAATCTCACATGTATCAGGTTGTATGAGGAGGTTCCAGTCAGTCCAAGAATTTTTTTTTCTATATTTTTCTATAGCAAGACATTTAGGTACTAGGTGATCTGAATTTTTACTTGTAATTATAATTTTTGTTTATGAATTCAATAGTTTTTAGGAAAATAACTCTCTTAAAGAAGTTATGTTTTGTACAATATTCTACATAGACTAGTATCATGTTCATAATTGTAAATATGTGCAAATTACAAGCTCACTAATTGTAACTATAATTTCAATTCATTTTTATATGTAAATATATTTTAGTACACTGATTACTTTTTTATTCAAATTGTAACTATAATTTCAATTCATCTTTATATGTAAATATATTTTAGTACACTAATTACTTTTTTATTCAAGCCTAATTGCTTGAAAGTCCAATGTTAAATTGGATTTGACAACATAAAAGTAGCTTAATATTATCATGTTGAATCCAATGTTTAGATTGGATTTTGTTTTAATTTATGTGAAGTGAAATTTAGATCATATGATGGTTCTTGTGTCGGCGAAGCAGAGTCTACTCCTATAGACTCTGCAAAGGATGATCTTATTAGGTCTCGCTGCTAAGTGAAGATTGTTGGAGGGAAAAATAAGGGAAAATTATATGGAGTTGGACAGCTTACTCATGGTTACCAAGGTGGGTCTGATACTCTCAAGCATCAGACTCAAGCATTCAGCTCTTCTGTTGATTATGAAGAGATGAATCAACTGAGGGAACGATTATCTGCACAAGAAGAGATTCGTCGAATAAGGAAGCATAATGAGCGACTAGAACACCAGTTTCGGGAGTTTCAATCACTTGTGGGTGCAGTCGTTCAATTCCTACCTCTGGTGCACAATCCCTCATTAAGCAGCGCCAACACAACCAATAAGATAGTCAGCAACAACAACCTCAACAATAAGAAGACAATTAAGAACAACAGGACAACCCAGAACAAGAAGGCAATACACAACAAGGGCAATAGTCTCCTGATTATTCTCATTATTAGATATTTTTTCAAATAATATTGTATTTGACATTATTCTACTTTATAATCATAGTTACTCTTACACATTAACTTTCATTATAGATAGTTTGAACTATATATATGTCATTGGTTTGAATTGAGATTAATTTGCATTATATTTGATTTCAATTGAGGTTATTTGTCTTATATTTAAGTTGAATTTGATCTGAAATAGTTGAACTGGATTTGGTATTGCCTGTGGTATAAAATGTGTGTTATTATGAAAGGAAAATGGTTTACTGTAAAATGAAATGGAACCTGAAAAAAATTTGGATATTACCGACAAATATATCCGTCAGTAACAACTACATTTAACACAATAATCAAATTCTTAAACCGACGGAAAACACTATCAATAATTATCTATAACACTTTCCGGCAAATATATCCGTCAGTAATTATCTACAACACTTTTCAACAGATATATCTGTCGATAATTATCAATGAAGTATTCAAATTCGTCAGTAATATTTACCAACAATAAAATTTTTAACAAATTTATTTCCGTCAGTAAATCGTTAATAATACATATTTATCGATGAATATTTGTTGTTATCAATAGATAAAATTTGTTGATAAATCTATTATTTCTTGTATTGGAGATTGGAACCTTATCGTAGATCGGGAGTTCCCAAATAAAGTTTGTTTAGGACATTTGTTAAGGAATGCTGAGGGGGTTAAGGGATCTTTTTGGAGTGAGTTTTCTGCCGGCAGAAATCATGTTCCTACCTATGCCATGCTCATCGAAAGTAACGATGTGCAAGTCAAACTCTTTTGAAGATTATGCGTTTGTTAGGGGACTTGATTCTCCTTGTCATCATTTTACAGCAATCAACTAACTATGCTTAAATATCACTTAACAAAATAGGCCTATAGATTACTCTACAGGGAAGGAAATCGATGTTTCATCTCACCTTGTCAAGTTGAGTGCAAACTTTCAGTGATGATTTAGTAGTGATTCACCGAACCCCAATGACCATGAACGCTTCTTTGTTAGTTATCTTTGTATTTACGCCACTGTTGTGCATCTTCTTTGCTTAATTTTTGTTCGTTATGTAACAAAAAATTACAGATACCTTTTTAATAAAAGTTTCCTACTTTTCCGATTCTATTATATATATATATATATATATATATATATATATATATATATATATATATATATATATATATATATATATATTAATTTTTGAAAATGCAAGTGGGGTCAAGCATCATATGCGTATCCATTTTATCCACTATGTTAATTTTGATAATATGTTTGTCTGTTCCAACTTTTGGATAAAGTACAAAGTAGTTAAAGGGAGATAAAATGCTACTGGTCAAAAGTCGGTCACAACTTTTTCTAGGCTTTATAGTTTTACATGAACCTAATCTTCCGTGTGGGAGGGATTTCTAATGCGCAGAATATAATACAACCGACAAAATGTATGTTGAACATTTTCTTCATGGACATAGTCAGAGGTAGATTTTGAGACAATGAATCTTTTCTTCACCAATATTTAAAGTATTTAATGATGATCCATTAAATAAGTTAAATTTATTTTAAAAGGGATTAATTTCTGATTATTGATTAAGAAATACTTTTAATTTACACACACTTGTGCATTTAGTACATATTTTTCAGCGGAGTACCTTCCAACTTTTATGTAAGATTTAAAAAAACAAACAAAATGAATCTTCCAATAACGTTTCTGTTCTGATTACAATTGTTCTATTTCATTGAAGTGTAATAGATAGTTCTGTGGAAGGAGGAGAAGAAAATAGCCCCAGAGGCAGGCCAATGCCCTGCCAAACACGCAACAGAACAAAATCACAAACATATGAAATTAAAATTTTAGGTATTGTTTGAGATCCCACAAGTTTTCAACTACCAACTTCATTTTTAATGTTTTCCCACCATACATTCATTAAGCCTACGATAATGAAAGTATGAATAGTAACCATCAATAATTATACAAAGAAAATTCAGGAGAGTGTTGTGTGGTGCTCTATATATACATATAGAAATGCATGTATATTTAAACAAGGATCTTTTTATAGAAATTACATATTTAAACAATTATTTATCACAATATTAGCTTGGCTAAGGTATCTATCAAGTCTGATTTTGAGTATTATTTGATGGAGTGGTATATTAATAAATGTATTTATTTTAAGTGTGGGTATTGATCTAATTGATTGATTGTAAAATTATATATATATATATATATATATATATATATATATATATATATAATAGATTAATTATAAAAAAATTATAAAATAATTGAGTAAAAAAAATTGTGATTTTTCGTTTGTTTAGCTTCTGCCTCAAGATTTATTCTATTCATAATAATCTTTTAAGTTTTCAGAATCTTATACAAGTAGATTATTTTTTAAATGATAATTATATTTAAAGATATTAAAAATATTATTAGTTTATTTAAGTATATATTATTACAATTATATATATATATATATATATATATATATACATATATATATATATAATTATTGTATCTAAAACTTAAAATTACTATATTAATGTGACTTAAGTTTTATAAAACATTTTTATTATATATGTATATATATATATATATATATATATTAGTTTTATTTATATTTTAATTTAAAATAATTTTAAAAATATATTAAAACAACTAATTAATTTATTTATCTGATATAAAATTAATTTAAAATTATTAATTTTATTTTTATTTATATTTTAGGTCATTTAAAATAACACATCTAGGTACAGATGTAATTTTAAGATGTAATAATAACTATTTTTTTATACATTTACTGTGGTAATTATGTATTTATTCAGTGATAGATAATTATGTCTTATATAAGTGTATATTTATGTCTTGAATATCTTTGTTAAATAAAAAATAAAAAATTATCCACAAAAATGCAAGCAATCAAGATTATCCGTCACAAAATTTACAAAATTGTACAAACCAAATATTTTTTTTAGTACATATTTATATAATTAATTTGAAATTGACTACATAAACATTAATCAATTATTACATGATAGAGCAGGCATTTGGGTTTTCATCACTGAACATTTGCATGTAGCTGTCGTCCATGGTGGTTTCTGAGATTTTGGAAGTGTCAGCCACCTTTCTCACCATATTAGGAGGTGCCTTCTTATCGTAGGCCTGAGAAACATAAGGGTTAGCCACCATAGTGTACGGAACGTATGGCCACAGCTCAACCTTCTTCTTCGTAGACTGAGCAGCCTTAAGAACTTTCTTTGCCTCAACATATCCTGTCACCGTAGCTTTCTGCTGCTTCATGTCCACTTCCACCGATTTAGCTCCTATTCAGTAGTTAGGTTTTCCATTACATATCAAAACAAGTTGATGAAGGGAAGGACATAACAGCGTATGTAAATTCTTTATAGGGAAGAAGAAGTACCTTTAACACCAGAAAGAACATGCTTAACCTTGCGTGCACAGCCTTCACAGTCCATTCTGATTTTCAGAGCTACAGTTTGTGTTTGCTTCTTCTTCTTCTTCTTTTTGGTGCTGCTAAGTAAGTCTGAGAAGTATTCCAAAGTGCCTTGTACTCCCATCTTCTGATTCTGCTTGTGTCAGTTCAACTTAATCGATGCTTTGCTCTTAATTATAGAATGTCTAGGATCTATATATACTGATTATTAAATGGTGTTGTTGGTACAATTCAAGCTTTGTGAGTGTTTACGTGTATATATAGACAACAATCAGCCAATCCAGCTATAGGTCAAGTAAGAAGAAAATACATGGCTTAAGTTGAAGCTTATTATTAAAAAGAGTGATTTAATGTGACAGAAAAATATAGAAAATGATTAGTCTTATTCCATTTTTTTCAAAATGGTAGGGTATGCCGTGAGAAACAAATATGACCAAGTGAAACAATATCAAAACTAACAGAAGGATACGAACTAATTAATTAGTGAAGTGATTGATATATGAAGAGGCCATGGTGCCTTAACTCCTTTCCTGTTCTGCCTTTATCTGTATTTTGCATGTACTGATATATACAACAGGTGGACAAACAATTTACATAAGGTATGTTTATATATAAGGACAATTAATCATTCTATAATAGAGAAGTTGGGCTGTCATGGTCTCTACTAGAATATTCTTATTTTTGTATTCAAATTCATATATACCAACTTGATAAAGAATAATAGAGAACGGATATATTCAAATTTCAATGAGTAACTTATAAATAAGATTTGGATCTGAATTCGATGTTCATCCACAAGGGCTACTTGTAATAGCTAGATAGATATTTTACTGATTGGATAAAAATAAAAATAAAATCTTCAACACCCACGAAACTTATTTGACACCTACGAGAAAAAAAAGAGAGAAGAAAAATATAATGATTAATATATAGAAAAAGAAATGGAGATATAATGATATGTGTTAATACAGTTATAAAACAGTGAGGTGGCCAAATATTTCTATTCTTAAAATAGTTGGCTTTAATTTTCTAAAAGTTCATCCTTGTCCCACTCAACTAAAAAATATTTTTAAAATGATTATCTATTCTATTTAAAATTTTAATAGAAGGTAAAAATATTTTTATTCTTTAACGACTATTTATGTTGTATATATATATTCTTAAATATGTTAGCAATCAACAAACTTTTTTTGTGAAGACAATTTTTATTGTTGACTGAAATGTATTAAAAAATAAAAAATTGTGGGTCTCATTTTATATGTAATGGTCTCATTCACAATCCAGGCACAAAGTGAAGGTAGAACACGGTTTTGCCTCCAGAATGAAAGATTTGGTTGTATGAATGCATCATAATATTTTAGAGGGACAAGTAATGCTTGAAGGACACGAAATTTGAAAGTAATTATTCCATTAGTAAAAGTTTGAAAAAAATGCACCTAATATTTTTGTAACAATGCATGAATAATTGAGGGTAATAGACTTAGATAGTTGCATGGCATCATCACTGGACACGTCGCAGAAAGAAGTCACGACCACATGCTTGTGGAGACCCCAATGGTTGATTTGTAAGCCACGTGGCTGCATGATGACAACAGAGCTTCATAGTTTGAGGGGTATGACAAAGAGGTGGCACTAAAATTATGGAAAAAGAAAGGAACACAAAGCATAAAAAAAGGGGCAATGAATTAGGTTTTGCTACTGTGACACATGGCTTTTAATAAGTATTGTGGATGAATAATGAAAAGCAAAAAGTGGTGTATATCCATGAAAATGAACTTGTCCCTTTGTTTGCTTTCTACTATTCTCATGTTTTACATTTTTATAAAGAAAAACTAAAATTGGTGAATAAGACAAATTTGTATCTAATCCAATCCCGCAAGACAGGGGTGTGTGGTTTGTTAACTCTAGAAGATACTTGAATAAATGCAAATCCAAGTTCATGTAGGAGACTATTGGACCCAATTATGATTTGACACAACGAGCATACCTAAAATTTATCATTTTGTTTTGGTGTGTTTTTCAGGCTTAATTATCCGTAGTTGGCTTGCAGAGTATCACTCTTGTGATTCATATAACACAAGCCATGAGACCTTAGATAAAATGTTTAAATCTACTAGAAGATTATAATAATTTACCCTTTTAGAAGACATTATCATATCAACAATTTCTCAAACAAAAAATATTGTAAACCCACCACACCAATCACTACCTGCCACGTACTGCTATGACTAGAATGTATTTATGAATTTGTAATAAATGTTCAGAAAATATGACTTAAATTTAATTTAAACTATTTTTATATTATTAATATATCATTTAATTATTGACTGAAAATATTAATGTCTTGACATGTTTAAAAATGAAAAAAAAAATAGACAAAAAATAAAATGTTTAAAATAAAAAATAGAGATAAAAAATGATTTTAAGAATATATATATATATATATATATATATATATATATATATATATATATAAAATATGAACGAAATAGATTATTATTTTATTTGAGGAATAACATGTGGAGTGTACCCGCGTCCAGTTGCACACGGGCTGACACATATAGAAGCCCAATTATTTAGGCCCTACTATTAATTTCTTGGGCTGCTTCTTCTGCACCCAATATTGTTTTCTGCACCCCATAATACATATAAAATATCACAAATGTCTTTTGAGGCTAGCTTTTCTCTTGCACCTACATCTTCATTAGTGCGGTTCCTGTATCTTCGTTCAAACACATTTTTATTTTACGATTAAAAATTTAATAATAATCTATGAATTGTATAACATGTTGTACGTTTAAAATTTTTATAAAAAACACATTTTATTCGTATTTATAATGTTATGAAATACAATTTTTAGAAAATTCAACCTAAAAATTAGTTATAAATAGGTTAATCCAAAATTTATTTTTGGATTTTATTTTTTAAAAATATATTCTTATTCAATAATTTAAAATTTATTTTCGATTCAATAATTCATAATATTTTTTGGAGTGTATTATTGTAAATAATTATTTTATTAATAAAGAAAAGTTCATCTAAGAATTCCATGACTAAATAAAAAAAAACATTACAGAAATATTGAAAGCAATATTTTTGAATTTCTGTATACACATAAGGTACAGAGAATTAGTTTTAGATGTTAATACACAGCTGAAATTAGCCAAAAAAAAATTGTTAATATTATTTCGAGGTTTTCACTTTAATCTTGAAATATAATTTATGATATTTTAAGATTACAAATTAATTAGGATAAAATATATTTTATTTTATTTTCAAAGAAGATATATAATAGTTATTATTGAAAACAAATCGTCAAATCAATAAAAAGAAAGCATTTTTTATAGAAAAATAGATTTTATGAAGCGGTATCAGAGAAGTTTAAAACATTCGTATTTTTTCTTTTACTTTTATTTTCACAGTGATTGATTATATTTTATTCAAAGTCATTTTGAGGTGTATTGAAAAGTATAGCAAGGATACAATGACAATTTTAAAACATGAATTAATAAGAATAAATGAAATAATTAAGAAAAATACAGAGAATTAATGATATATTTAAATAAATAATTCATATAAATACATCATTTAATATAATTGATAGTATTTTAAATAAGGGAAATAGATAAATTTAATATATTTTTTTCATGAAATTGGTAAATTTTTAAATACAACATTTTTTTCAAATAAATAATAAAGTAGCTGCTTAATTCTAATAATTACTTAGGCATAATTTATTAAAAAATATACAATAGATTATAAATAGTATAATCAATGCAATATAACACAAGTATATAATATAATAAAATTTAAAATAATAATTTAATGAAATTGATGAATTTTTAAATACATAAAAAATTAAAATCTATAAATTAATTTATATTTATATATATATATATATTGCTTTTTTTTTCTTTTTCTAATATAACACTTATGAAATTTATTATTTTCACTCTTTTTCTATATTTTTTCCTGACACTAATATTTACCATAAACTGTAATGAACCACTAATATTGTATAACTTATAAAAATACATGTAATATTAAATAATCTGTGTAAGTATATATTTAATTTTTAATTAATTTTATTAATTTTTTCCTTATTTATTATCACTTTTTGACTTTTCAAATTAAATTTATAAATATTTTTCTGCAAAACATAAACTATATAAAGAATAATGACTGAAATAATTTACATAAAGAATGAATATTAAATTTAATAATTAAATTTTATAAAAAATAATGAAATTGATAATTTTTAAATACAGAACAATTCATAAAAAATATTATTTTTAATACATTTTCTTAATTTGTACGGATTTATTTATCATAATTATGATTTTTTTTAGTACTTTTGTTTTTTTTTAATTCTTAAATTTATTGACTCTATTACTTATCTGGAAAATGTTTTTGGTTTTCTTAAAAAAAAAAAAAATTGTTATCACGCGTTTTTCATTATAGGGTAGCATAACATATCCAATCTAACTGAAAAAGCAAAATACAAACCTATTTTTTCAGAAGTAAAAGTAAAATAAAGTTCTACTAAGAATAAAAAAAGCTAATAATATTTTTAAGATAATGGTGGGTAGAGAAAAAATTATTTAAATCTTATTCTATTATTTGTACTAATTATTTTACTTTTCTGAAAAAATAATGAATATTTTTCTAAAAATATATAAATTATGTTGAGAAATGGATGAAATAGTTATGATAAGAAAAAAATACTTAATTTATAATGATTTTATTTTAAAATTAATGTATATTTTATCCGCAAGTTTCAATTGAAAATCTTTATCCATGAGTGAGATTGTTACACATTCGTTTTAAGTTATAAATATCTTCTATTCTATAAATAAGATTTTTTTTTCAAAAATACACTATTAATATATTTTTTGAAAACATAAAATGAGATTTAAATTTACTTAAAATTTTTTAATAATACTCTTTTACTATCAGATCACGTCTCAGCATTTTTAAAATCGAAGATGATAAATATGAAATAAAATAAACAAAATGGGATATGATAAATTGTATTAAATTATTTTAATACTCTAACTTGAATATATAATGCAGGTATGAGAATATAACATATAAAGATTAAAGACATTACTGTGTTTTGAATGTGTATATGAGTAATTTTTTAGAGTATGAAGATAAAATATGTGAACAATTTAATAACTTTATGAACATATTTTGTTCCAATTCATTTTATTCTATTCTGTGTTTGTGGTCCAATGGTTTGAATTGAGGAGTTCGATCATTTACAAAAAAAATATCAGATTTGGATACTGACAAAGCCAGACAGACATAACTCAACCTGGCTTGATGTCATGGATATTAGCTGTCACTGCTTTCAATACCTCCCCTTCCCCAAAACCTAGCTAGCCACCTTCAATCCTCTTCCCCTTTCTTTTGCATTCAATGTCAAACCCTAACTTCTGTTTCTAAATATTTTCCCCTATATATACCATCAGAACCATATTCAAAGTCCACTTTTCATTTTCTCTTTCTGATTAAGTGCTTTTATATCCTTCCTCACCAACACCATGACCTCCAATGGTGACGACTACATTGGCAGTGAGAGCTGCAATATTGACCTCCAGAACGATTTTGTCCTCCGTCACTGTGAGTTATCCAAAATAAACACTGCTTTTGGTTCCAAGAACGGTACCAAAAGAAAGGAAAAAAGAGAGTTACCACCTCCTATACCTCAAATGGAATTCGTGTTGCGGAGATACTACACCAGTGATGGAAGATTGATCTTACGAGAAGAAAAGGTGAAGCATCACGAGTGCTTTCAAATGCACAGAGCCAATGGTCGTCTCACAATGCACCTTGTTCACCTCGATCATGAAGCAAAGGAGAAAGAAGATGAAACAGCACGTACTTCACTTGAGACTACGGATCCAAATGGTAATATACAATTAGGTTAAAAAATGTACGATGTGACCAGCAATGTAGTAGAGCGGTTTAGGGTTAATTAGTTCTCTTTTCCTGTTTTGTCAAATTTTATTTTTGTTGTTGTTACATGCAGTGCCGTGAAGGAACTAGTTCCTCCATCTTTGTTCGTAATAATATTCTTATTTTTTTTATTGGATTGCCTTTTATTTATTATGTATTAGTAAAAAATATTAAAAAAATTATATTTATTTATAATTAAAAATAAAAAAGTAACTAACTTAATAGATATTATATTTTTAATTAAAACAATTATTATAATGTAAGTGAATTTTTCCCAATTTTTATTTTTTTAAATCAAGAATTCACCTATAACATCACCTCAAACTTTACCTTATGGCCATTTAAAATAACATTGATAGATCATTTCATATATGAAATATTATTTATTATCTCTGTAAAAGGTATTTTATTAAAGTAAAAAAAATTATTTTTTATGTCCACTTTAAACCTAGATATAAAAATAATCTAATTCAATTTAATAAATTTTAAAACATTGGTTACAATTATAGAGTTTCAATCTAAGATCAGTTAAAAAAATATTTTAATTGGTATGTTGAAAAAAAAAGTTTCTAATTAAAAAAAAAAAACATTTTTTGATAATTGATACTATTCCATTCCAAGAGTTGATAGCTATGTCAAATATACTTATTTAGCTTATATAGTTTTAAATATTATATATTATGAGTTATGGTAGTATTTATAAATTAAATCTTAACTTAATTAATTTTGAATATATATATATATATATATATATATATATATATATAATTCTAAATATGTTGTATACTTAACATCATAAAATCAGACCATAAGTTTAAATGAAAACCAATGAAAGTTTTTCATATCTCAATGGAATTTCTTATATAAAATTTTGTACTCTATTTATATTTTTGAAAAGTGAATTACTGCAAATAAAGCAATTCAAACAGTAGTCAACTTAAAATAGAGTTTGTGGTTTCCAAGATTTCTGTGACTGATGAAAAGTGAGTGGTGGTTGAAAATACTACAGTATTGCATGAAACATGAGTGACAATGATGATGGTGAGAGCTGAATAAGATGTTGGCTCTCATCGATATGTGAATTCTTAGTTGTAGTACAGCTAGGTAATATCACTCTTTGTACAAATCCATGTCACTCATTGGTTATTTGGACTTGTGTGACTGCACTGTGTTTCACTATTCTACAAACTTCTATGCATTGCAGTAATTTTAAATAAAAATTTAACTACCTTGACAACATTTCTTTATACAATGCCAGAAAGCATTTGACTTCCTAACTTCTCCAATTAAACCATATCATATTTGTTGAGCTGATTGAATAAATATTACTTGTTTGAAGTCATTTTTTGTTTGAAAAATTCTAGTTGATAAATTGTTAAAAGAAAATGTAAGATGTTCTGTTAAGTATCTTTTATTTATAAATAAATAAATAAAAGGTACATATATGAATAGGTTTGTATAAGAAAAGAAACAAAAATGAGGAATTTAATTAATACTTTTTTAATTAATTAATTTAACTAATAAAATATAAATATTATTCCATTTGGTTCTTTTTGTAAGATATATTTTGAAAAAAAAAGTTATTAAACTAAGATATTTTATAATTTCATTTTTTTCTGTCTTTGTTAAAAGCATAATTACGTTGCTATTAATTGATTTAATGATAATTAATAAGGATATATGTAGACTTAAAATAATAAAAAATTATATAAACTAATTGTTTTTCTTAATTTGTGTGATTTTGTTTAAAATATATTTTAACAAGAACAAGAGAAAGTATTATATATCACAATAAAATAAAATTCAAAAATATAAAATATGTTTTTTTTTAATATTCTGTTAAAATAAGGTTGAATGCAATGGTAATGTCATATAAAAAGATTGGTGTTTTAAATTTCCAATATGAAAAATCACTCTTATAAATATAGTCAATAGATTTAAAGGTATTATTAATGTGAGTTAAGTTTAAAAATATGATTTATAACTTAATATTTTAAGGTTTTAAATTAAGAATGATGTTAATTTCTTATGTTAGTTGGAGTCATATTTTATTGGGGTTGTTTTCTTTAAGTGATATTATTAAATTTTGTTATTCAACTTTTAATTTTTTATAAACTCTTTTTTTTTTTAATCATGAATGAGCATGAGATTATGCAACACACATGGTCATCTCTGGTTACAAAAAAAAAACTTCTCATGCCTGCCTCATAATCGTATGAATACTCATCAAACAAGTGTCCATAAATATTTTTTACAAACAACTTTGAAAAGTAAAACCATAAAACAATACCAAAATGTTGAAAAAAATATATATTTATACTAAATATAATCTTCAGGCAACTTTTTGACACTCACAATTATTATAAGAAACATGATTTAACAATTAAAATCATGCAAATATATAAAATATATTGTTTTTTTTAATGATTTTACACAGTGGATTAACACGAGAATAGGCGTCGTACACTAGAAAAAATTGTTGTATTTCTGGATTGCCTTAGTTTCCTACCATAAGTTCGATATTTTAAGATTGCAAGTGTTCCTTAAGATAGTTACTTCTGTTTTATAAATGATAATATTGTTCCAATATTCAAATCATGCCTGTTTTAAATTTGCTATTACTACTTTTATTTTGAAAAACAAAACAATCAATCAATTATAAATTATTAGTAAGTTTTTAGAAAAAAATAAATAAATTCAACTTTTTGATTATTTTGAGACGCTATTTTTCTTTTTAAAAAACAAATCATCTTACACACTTTTTAAATGATTTATAGAACAAAAAACGTTACAGAAATATAACCTTATTTTTTATTTATGTGGTAGAGCTTTATTTGAACTTATTTTGGGGTCCATTGGATTTCAAATTTTGAATTCAACAAAATTGTGTATCTTTTCAGCCATCCCATTATACAAACCCAACCAACCAATGTTGCTTTGCTTTGATCCATTTCTCAATCTTGAAACCATTTGACCAGAGTCAACTGCTATACCTACACCTCCATTTATTTCGATATAAAAATAAAAATAGATAAATATAAAAAATTCCATTATTAAAATAGAAATATATTATATTTCTGAAATTTTTATCTGATAATCTTAAAAGACAAATGAAAAAAAAATGCGGTAATAAATAATGTATTCAAGAGGCATAGGAAGAGGGATTTACGTGTCACGTGAGCTGGCACAAAAGCAAACAAAATCTGTTGAACGTTGTTGATGGAGATTATTGTCTTCATACCTTTTCATTCGTAACGCACGTTTAATCCACGCAACGTCAAAAGACCTTCATATCCTCCCAACTCCTGTGGGGACCACTCTCTTTCTCACTCTCCACAGAAAGGGTATTGTAGGTAGTTAACGCAACTATGTAATCACATACATTTCATTCACGGTAAAACCATGGGTGCAATGCATTCCAAGTTTCTCCTCAATTTTCTTTTATTTTCTCTGTCCTTTTCCGATCTTTCTCGGTGTCAGAGAAAATGAAGTGACGCGGCAACACTCATGTTTTTTCTTATGTCTCTTCTCTTTCTCAAAGTAAGATCTCTCTCTTCTCTTTTCATGTCTTTTGTTATGTGTCTCTTTCGCTACCAGTTTCAGATCCTATACCACAATACTCCCATGTACTTTTGTGGTAAAGATTATTTTTGTACATCTATTTCGTTCTAATTTTGTCATAATCTTTATACTTATATATTTGGTTTCCAATCTTCTTGAGTTTAATATGAATTCCTAAAATATATCCAGACACTAAATATATGGGAAATCTTTATTATTTGACTGAAAGTATATGAGTTAAAAGTAATATTATTTTTCTCCTTAGTTTTCAACTAATTAATACTTCATCCAATAATTTTGATCCTGAATTTCTGTAATTCTCTTCTCATAGGTCTGCATAAATCATATTTTCAAACCTGCTCATTATATTTTCTGAGATCATTAATTCTGGGATTTTCTTGGTGTGGAATGGTTCTGGTAAAACTGGAGCGGTATTTATATATGTTAGCGTAGTCATAAGAAACCACAACTTAGCCTTGATTATAGTCTTGAATTTACAAAGAAACAAGGTGTTTGAATTAATTCATTGAATTCTTTGAACCCCATTAAGAGTCAACATTTTCAGATATAGTTGTAAGAAACCAGCCAGCCTTTTTTGTTTTGTTCTTATTTTAATTTCATGCTCAGGACATAAGTTATCTTTTTTTCTTATATATATATATATATATATATATTCTAAAAAAAAATTTTAATTTTTTTCCCAGTGCACCGAAAGCATACGTTGGGATAATACAGAAAAGGCAGTGTTATATACGTATACATAGTAAAGACAAAAAGAAAAAAAAAAAACATAAAAACCAGGTGGAATACATGTATAACAAAAATGGATAACCGCTACCCACGTATACTTCATTATTGTGTAATATAGACCTACTTAATATTTATTAAAGTGTGTGTTACAGATTTATTTTTTATTTTTTAAATAAATTATTATTTTATACTATTAAATTATCAATCAATAAATAAAGAGACGAAGAAATCTCCATTTTTTATTTTTCAATAAATTCCTCCATTCATATATATATATATATATATATATATATATATATATATATATATATATATATATATATATATATATATATATATATATATATATATACTCACACATTTCCGGTTCATGCATTGATTGTATTATCATCATCCATCCTTAATTGGCTGCCAGCTACATGATTTACAGTTATGAGGTTTTAGAAACGTACAATGGAAATACTTCATTTACATCTTTTATTCATTTATTTTTACTTTATCTTTTACTATATTACTCCTTTACTATATATTACTCCTTTACTATATATTACTCCTTGTTTTTTTATATGATGCTTTAGAAAAAAAAAAACTCCCTAAGTTATTTATAGTCTAATAAATCGATATAAAAATAATTATTTTAATTCAATAAGTAATGCTAAGAACAATGTCTTAACTTGCGTTTATTATAACACTATTGTTAAACGAAATTTTAATGTTGGAGGTATTATTTTTTAGAGTTTTAATTTAGTTTTATTCTTAAAATACACTTTCTAGATTAAAAAAAATGTGTATAAACTATTTTAGTCTCCATTTTTATCGTGTGAGACTCGTAAACAAGAGAAAAACAATATTAATTGTATTACATAATTAATATATTTTTTATATAATTTTTATTGTGTTCTGATATTTTGAATGATAAAAAAAGAAAAAAAAATTCCTTAAGCAATAACTTAAAAAACGTGTTAGTGACTTCCTAATTAATTCCATTTTTAAGTATTGTATCGTCAATGTATTAATTTCACCAACAATTAGAATTCTTGAATCACATATGCATGATTTTTAAAATAATTATAATAAAAATAATAGTCTTATTTACATATCTATGAACAATACATGTATATAATTATTTTAAGAGTGGTGATAAACCTACCATCCTTTTTATCAAACATCCCAACAACTCTCACATATATGCCTCTGTTTATTATTTTTAGGTATAATAAAGATGGTGAATGAGTAAAAATTTTGTTGGGTGTCTGTGTATCATTGCTAGGATGTTGCTGGAAGAAGGTGCTGGGCATAAGAGGAAAAGGGCATAAACTAGCCATGTATGTCTATCCTTCTTGAGGAAACAATACAAGACATAAATGTACGGGAAAATGATGAGCAAATATTTATCACACATCACATCATCCTTTTATAGTTTTTTATTGCCGTGGAAAGCCAAACTATCGTTCCGCTCCAAAAATACTCCAAAACGATACCGTACAGCCGAAGCAGGGCTCAAAACCCTATTTCACTCCGAGTTTAAACCGCCGCTGAGAGTTGTACATCGCTGCACACCCGAGAAAGCCGCGGAATCAGAACTGTCGTCACCACCTCCTCCGCCGCTATCATGGATGTGGTCACCGTCCTCGCCGGCGTTCCGAATGATCATGATGGGAGACGTGATTGGAACGGAGAGCGGGGACTGCATGATAGCCTACGTAGAGGAATTGAGAGCAGAACCTGAATCTCCGAAGGTGATGATCAGGTGCAGAGAGAGGAGAGAGAAACGGAAGAGGCAGTTTCCACCGCCGTTAACGTTGATGAGAGAAACATCAGAAATGTCATTGACTTTCAAGAGGGAATATAACGGCGACGGAAGGTTAACCGTAACGGCGGAGAGAGTGAGAAGAGGTCACGAGCAGTGCATTATGGAAGTTCGTAAAGTAAATGAAAGAGTGACGATGTGGTTGGTCCGTGAAGACGGTGTTGACGAAGACGACGACGTGGAAATGAGATTTAACGAAGGGTTGGAGAGTGAAGAGGAAGAGTGTGGTTTTGAGTTTGAGGAAGAGATGGGCAAGGAAGGTGAGCGATGTGGGGATTTGCGTGAGTGCGTCAGCGTCACTTGCGATGCTTCTTGGCCTGGTGGGTTGCTTCGGCTTCACCATTCGGACTCTTTCCCTGACCTCTACTTGGGCCGGGCCGCTTCTGCTCCAATAAGGCCCATGACTCCTGTCATGTGATTATTATTGTTCAAAACATTTATATGGACATTTTCTTTCTAAGGCAGCTACAGTTGTTAAAAAGCCATGTGAAGCTACAAATCTTAAACGTTAAAGGGGTGCACAATTTATTCATGTTTCTAAATTCACCGATTATTAGAATGTTAAAAGAAAAGCATATGACAGATGTATGGTATTAATTAATGAAATTTATGCTATAGCAGTTATATTTTACTTATTTTACAGATTTCACGTAGCCTGAAGATTTCTTTTATGTTTAAAATTTACCTAATTAAATGAATGTATGATTAAATTTAATGTTTTTTACTCCCTCCAAATTTCTACCACCGACATTGAAACTATTATGGTAAGTTAAACAGGAAACTAATCAAATTAAACAAGAACTAAAATTAGACAAATATCTAAATCTTAACAAATTTTATTTTCAGAAAACGAAAACAAAAAATATTTTTCGTAAACCAAATACCATGTCTCGATTTCAAATGGGAGCCAAAATTGTAGATTCAATATTATAGGAGACGAAGAAAAAACGTTTTCAGCTTTTTATATTTACTATTTTTTTTTTCCTATTTTACTACACCAATGTGATTATAATTGTGAGGGTGAAGTGAGTGAGTTAATGGGAAACAAACAGGACAGTAGTGAGAAGCAAAAACTATTGAACTATTTATATAAATCAGTCCAGAGGCAATATAAAATTATTCTCAACTCAACCATAAGCTTATATAAAAAAATACGCAGGGCGCATGGGTCAAATACTTGAGCTAAAATAAAACGAGGCAAATTCCTAACAAAACAATCACCACAATGCAGAAAAAATGGCATTGAACAAGCAAAATTTTGTAATGGCATTGAAAAAATGCCTGTGACATTCATCCACTATACTAACCCAATTTATTATCGAAAATTCTTTTCCCGCATCAATTCTTCTTGCTCACAAAATTTTGGTGACGATTTTTCAATTATTGCAGATGCATTTTCTGGCCACCGATTTCAGCTTTTCCAGCAGCGATGGCTTCCAGAGGATGGTAGTCTCTGCGATCATTGAGGTGATCACATAGGGATCCATATTTGCAGCAGCTCTTCTGTCCTTGATGACGCTTCCGCAGTTTACCACACTCTATAAAAAAAACAATTTTTCTAATAAAACAAACGGTGTGTGTTTGAATTCAATTTTAAAAGAAGAAAAAAACACATTCCTCAGTTGAGGAAGAGATGCATTAGGTTTAAGCTAGTCAATTACAGAAGAGAAGGGGGTGGTGTCGCCTGCAGTTCCATAAGCTTCAATGTGCACTGTGTGCCTCAATCGAAGCTTCTCAATTGCCTTATTAATGGCCTCATAACCACCCTCACCTCTCATGGACTTGGTGCTGGAATAATCACCATTGCAAGTCTCAGAAACTTGAAAGAATTCCAAGAATAATCCAAAGAGGTGAATATAGAATATAGGCTATGTTTTGTTACCTGTAGCTCGTACGAGCCCTAGGTCCACTCCAATCTCCCTAACACAAATAGTGTAACAAAAATGTCAATATAGTGAAATTCAATATAATAAGAATGCCAATTATTCTTCTATCCTTCAAGTTTTCAACCAACACCAAGTATCAACAAAATTTAAGAATTATCAATCACATATCTAACCGGAAGAGGCTTAGGATCAAATGAAACAACTACTCCAGCTATCTCTGCAATCCTCTGACAATATAAAAACATCTCATCAATATTTATATATTCATTGATCACTTTCTTTCATTTTGTTGATCACGTGTATAATATAATCACTTGATATACAATGTATAAAGAAAATGAATGGATCTTTAAATTACCTCCAAAATGTAGCGTGCAGCCAACACCTGATCTCCAGCAGAGATACCAACAGAAGGATGGAATTCCCACTATAAATACAGAATTCAGAAGTATCAAATCTCAATTCAAGCAATTAAAAGTAGGAATTAAGAGAGATGTTGCAGTTGAAGTTCGTTGTTAATCAGACTCTTTGGATAGCATTAAAAAAACTAATTGAAATGTTGTTTATACCTTGCCAGGCACAACCTCTCCATTGATGCCACTAAGGTTAATGCCCGCGTAAAGACAAGCTTTGTGAAATGCATCTGCAATATCACCAGCAGCGCGTGGGCCCTGTTCAAATCAACGTTGATTTAGTCATACAAGGAAGCGCAGATACGAGGGAAGAAAGAAAAAGGAAGAAAATACAAAACAAATAGTATCTTTACTTGGCTCTTCCCTTTCAAGGGGCTTTGGTAAAAATATTAACCACTAATCTGTTACTGAATATATAGGGTAGAAGGTACTTGGACCAAAAAATTTATTTGGATCATAGAAGTCACGGGAGGTGTTCACAAACTTCGAAAATGGATAATAGAAGTCACTATTAAATTAGGGCAAATACAATAAATATAATAATAGAAAAATGTTAGACTTAAAGAATATACAATGACTGAGTAATCAAAAGCAAATAGATAAAAAGGCTTAACCACTTCACATAAACAAATGTACTCAACCACTTCAACAGACAAAAACAAAATGCTTAACTAAAGAAAAAGTAAAAGTAGCTAGATATATAACTATTAAGAGTATCAGCTAAAACATAATACATAGTTTTTTAACAAATCAAAACAAAAATTCAATATATTAACCATTCATTCATGACAGAAGCTCAAGAGTACTTGACCACTATGTGTAGAAGTTTACAACAGAAAATTGTCAATGGATCACCATAGATTAAACCTGTCTTCAAAAAAAGATTTTCACTAGCGTTTGTAAGCAAAATTTAAGTCATAAAATCAAACTTTATTAAACTATTAGTATACATAGTTGGGCCTCTACCAAAGAACATGCAAAAGAGGATGCAAAACAGCAAATAATGGCATCCGCGAGCAGGCCAAGATGAAAGCAAAAGCAAAAACGAGAACCAGGGATACCGAACCAGAAAACCCACCCGCTAAATGAATGGAAACACAGAAAATTAGCGTGCAGATCGAAGTTGAGGTTGAAATCCAAAATAAAACCCAAAATCTATCATATATCGAAGTTGAAAAAGTAGAACACAGAACTGAAGGGATTAAATCGAAGTCGAAAAAGAATGTACCATTGTAATTGAGAATCATAGAAAGCAAGTTTGTGTGCGAATCCAAAAGCATGTTCTACAATATTGCATCTCAGGAATCTGATTTCTTGTTCAAAGCACTGAATGCAAACACCCCCAACAATGAAGCATATCAATCTTCTACTATTTTTCTCTCTATTGGCAAGTGAGATATTTAAAAGCATATTTTGAACAAGAACCTTTTCTTGTCCATGAATTTGATGTACAACTACACATTGCATTGCATAAAAGGTTTTTAGGAGTACATAAACAGAATGCTAGTGATATTTTTATACACCTACAACTCATTATATTAATTAAATAAGTATCATTTTATTAATATTTTTAATTGTATGTTTGGGTTATATCATATTATGAGGACTTATTTTTATATTATTAGTGAAATAGATAGCACTTTGATCAAATCAATCAAACTCTTATCTGCGAAGAAACTTTAAAGCAGCTGGTTGGGTGTGAGATGCATGTGTTGTAAGTGTAGAATAAGTTAGGGTTTCAAAACCAAGTTTTCAACAAAAAATTATTGGCATTGAATTTTTACTGACTGGTTTATAAGAGGAGAGTCATTCAAAATCTTATCACCTTGTTCGTAGTATTTTGCATCCAGTTTAGACTAAACTTACACAAAATAAACCTAATCAACCTTGCATAACCAGCAAAACCGCTTTCTTGGTAACCAAATAAATGCTCATGCGAAAGGAGATGCAGGTACAAGACATAAATTGCTGCATTTCAATTATGGCAATATGGGACAATCAAATTTGGGACAGATACCAAATAAAAAAATGGTAACACATGAAATGTCTTATGAAAATCCAAAAGCATGGAACGTGCAACAGCTTTGAGGCATTTAAGAATTGAGGCAATACTATACAAGAAAACAGAATGGAACATAAAGAATAGGGTTAATTGATATACAATTATACACCATGCAAAAGTATGCACACTCTAGATTAATCAGCAATTATATAATAAAAATTTCAAGATAATTATCGTAAAAAATGTCATTTATGTTATCATGTATAATATGTGTAAAAAAAAAAAAAAAACTTTTCAGACCTGTAGTACCGGAAAGGCACCAAGTGGCCAATTTTCATCTACAGGCAACAAAGTACACTCTTGATTGAAACCGTACCTGTCAGTATTTCAGAAAAGAGTAAATTAAATCCTGTTAACAAAGTTATGTATATAAACAGGAAAATATAATGATAGAAAATGCATACCATGGCTCCTCAGCAACAACGTCAGGGTGACTGAAAACTTTGACAGCATCAAACCTCTTGTTGGTTGGAAGTGGGTATCCAGCTGGGGTATAAGTATCACAAATCACCTACAAATTTTTATTACAAAAAGTGAATAATGGACCACGAATAGTACAAAATTTGGTGAACTAAGACAAAATTGATTGCTTAATTATAATTTATAAGCCAATTATTTAACTTTCAAAACTTACAAGAATATGGTTGCCTCCCCTAAAGGGATCCTTGAAAATTGCCTGTGGGCTTTGGTCAAATAAATACAACCACAAAAAAAAGGAAACATATTCATCAGTTTTTTTATAATAATAATAATAATAATAATAATAATAATAATAATAATAATAATAATAATAATAATAATAATAATAATAATAATAATAATAATAATAGTAATAGTAAATAAGAGTGCATAGGAGAATTGGATAGTATCATACTATAGGATGACTTCACTGTCATCCCCAGGAACTTGATCGGTGCTAAACCCATCATAATTCAACTTCGGAAGTTTGGCAGGATCAGTCACTGGTCCAGGAAGTGTCTGTTGAAAACCACGTAGAAAAAGCACCAAAAAAAGGGTTATAATATCGGGAACATGAAAAACTTCGCATAATTATAGTCACTTGTGATGAGAAGAAATAAAATGCAAAAAATAATTACCCTGGCTTTGCTCTTAAGGTCCACACCAGATCCACCGATCCTATATAACATGATTATACCATTCAATCATTAAAAGAATGAAAAATTAAAACATCTTTGCTTCTTATGTGTTTGATGGAACATGAAGTAAAGTTCCAACAAGTTTACATGAGATAAAGTATACCCTTAATCAGAAAGATCGATCTGGGGGGTTAGTTACATTATTAGTGGAATAAAAAGGTTCAAAATCAAACATTTCATAAACAGAGATAAAACGAAGTCCCTTGTTTTTTGTACAAGGATTATGTAATTGTTGGGATTTTGAGAGCTCACCATATGTACTCAGCAATGATCTTGGTTCCTGGCAGTTCCAGGTTTATGAGATCTGAAAGTAGAGACATGATGACTTGTGGGAAGGAAGAAGAACAGTGAGTAGATATGTAGACACCAAGAGATGCAAGCTCCAGATAGTTGTTGATAGGTACGATTTTATCTTATAACCCTTTTATTTGCGCAACACTTGGAGAACAAGCTTTGAAACCAGAATGAAACAGTAATACCTTAAGTTTTTCATTAAAACATAAAAATTGTAACTTTTTTTTTTTCATTTCCTTTCTTATTTGGGTGTTTGTTACTAGTTGAGCTTTATTTTAGAAAAATAATTATTTTTCGTCAATTTTAAATAATTAAAAAGAAAATAGATAAACTGGGTTTTTTTCCGCAACCTAAAAGTGGGATGAATTTGTTTATTAAAAAACAATGAACGTGTTTTGTGACGACATTGCTCGATCGTTATTGTTATAAGCTGGGTTGGTACAAGCACTGTGTAAGAGTAGGTAACTTACCATCACTAATCATTCGTCTATGTTATTTCTACCCAAAATGCATGTGTATTTATTTTAATTTCTTAATTTTTCAAAAATATGTTTATTTAATAAATTCAATAATAATAATTATTATATTTAATAATTTTGATTGAATCGAATTGAGTCTTAAATTTAATATATCAAATATGTCATTTAACTTATAAAATGTTAAAAGATTAAATTCAATCTATTTATTTATATTAGATTAAATCGAATTAGGTAACTAGATTATCCGAATCATTAAACTTCCTATTATAGGCCAAATTGATGGTATAATCACCATGTGAATTCTCAACATTTGTTTGAAAGACCTGCTACGTTTATTAAAAGTTTATGTCAAGTTGATCAGGAAATTAGGGTAAGAGGATGCGTGTCAATTTATGTTTTTCTAAAATAACATAATGGCACTCTACTTCCTTGGATTTTGTTACTTGGTGTGAATTTATGTCAGTTAATTATTATCCTCGTATTTATTAAAAAAAGTTGTTATCAATTTATATTTCAAGACAAAACCAAAAATAATCACTCTTTTCATTTAATTGTTTTTCACCTGCTTTAGTAAGAGTTGTAGTATTCATACAAAAACATCTTTCACAACAATTTATATAAGGTTGTCTAACTTAACCAAATTAATAAAAGTTTGGTTAAAAAATGGCATCACTCATTTACTGTGACAGAGGCTATATATCTTTGTATATACAAATACAATACTATATATTTTAGAGGGGAGAGAGATGTCTGAAATAAAAGTGACACAAGGATGAAATTACTCTTCACAGTTTTACATACTAAATGGATGAATGTATTTAATAATATATATATATATATATATATATATATATATCAATTATATAGTAACTAATAATTTGTATATCATTTATTATATTAATTATTTGAGGAATCAAGATTAAAAAATATATACTATTTCATAGTAAATTTGTTACATTAAAATAAGAGGAAAATTTCCTGCATAACATTATTTTTCATAATGATAAATATATATATTTATTTATTCACTATAAACTTATATATCAGATGATTAGCAACAAATAAAACAATAAAATTTGAATTCCTAGTAATAAATTGTATAAATATATTTTTTTATATTTTCAATTAATTAAAATGATTTTTAAAGTAATTATTGTTAAAGTAAAAAAATATAATAATAATACACATCACCCTTTATAGAATGTCATGGTAAGGAAGTAGATAATGCCTGATAATAAACCCTAATGTTTAAAATATATGCGTAGAATATACTTTGGAAAGTGATGAAATGAACGGTGGAAGAAGAAAAGGGTTGTTGGGTGAAGTGAGAAAATATGAATTATGAGATGTCCAAATAAAAAATTGAATACCACGGCACGGCCCAACAAATCCAAAGGAAGACACGTGGTGGGACTTGAAACAACATCAACCAAATGGATATTTTTTTAAGGCGTGATTGATTTTTAAAAAGGTCGGTCAAATTAAATTTATTTATTGTTTTAATGAATTTAAAACAATAAAAAGGTTCTGCGCTAAAAACTAAATTTTTAATCATATGTTAATGTATTATATGTTTATTGATTTTTATAGTAATTATTATCATTAAGATTTATTTGGATAAATTTCACTAGTATTTATGAAATAAAAAAAGGAAAAAGAAAAAAATAGAATAATTTTTTATAAGTTAACCTTTATATATATATATATATATATATTATATATATATATATATATATATAAACTAAAGAAATTATATGAAAGAACTTTTACAAATTAATTTATATGTAAAGTAATTATAACTTGTAAAAAGTTATATAATTTTTTTTATTTTAGGAATTTATAAATAAATATTTTCAAAACATACCCATAATCGTATCTTTATTATATTTGACAATATAAAATTATTATATGATACAATCTCAACTCTTAAATTAAAATAGGAGAAAATGAACAACTATATTTATTATTTTAGTTTACTTTAAATTGCAGAAAAGATTTTGCATTAAAAATCAAAATAATTTTATACTTGTATTTAATTACATGTACTTTTATTATATTTTAATTATTTGTATAACAACATTTTTAAATTATGTCAACAATGTATGTTAAAATATGATTATAATTATATGATGTTAATGAGGCGAAGTCTCGAGTATTAAATTAAAATAAAAGACTTAAATTTTAAAATATTATGTAAATTTTTAAAAATATTTATGCAATACAATTTTTTTAAATTTTGTATTAAAATATTTAAATAATTGATACATCATCATTAATAATATTATTATATTAATAATATTTTGATATTATCAAATTATTATTATTATTATTTGTAATAATAATAAGTAAAAATAGAAATCTGAATTTGATTTTTATTAAAGAAAATAAAATTTGAATTTGAATTATTTATTTTTTAAAGATATAAAGTTTAAATCTGACTTATTTATTTGTTACAATATATTTAAAAGCATGATTTTTTTTTGTTGACAAAAATTTGACTAAATTTTTTGTTATAAAACTTTAAATGTCAATAGACTTGTATTATTAGACTAAGCAGACATTTAATAATTTTAAATTTCTAATAGATTATATATAATTATGTATGTATAATATAATGTAATATAATATATTACTTATTTAAAATTTTATTTTTTAATAAGTATTCTAAACAATGTATAAATTTATCTTTTAATAATCTTATAAATTTCTAACATGTATATTTTTAATAATTAAAAAATACAAATAGATGTATGATTTGAATAAATTATAGCAAATATAATATACAAATAATGTTTATAAAAATTATTATTTATATTACTTAAATAGGCTAAAATTATTATTTATATTACTTAAATAGGCTAACATGTTAAGTCTATTTTTAATTCATAAAAGTTTATGTCTATCTTTCTTTATAGAAAGGCTTGACTTGATTTAATATAGATCACGCTCTTAATTTCTTTTCATGTGTCTTTGTTAGATAATTATTTGACTTATTTTTATTTTTAATAGTGATAACAATCCTGATGTAATTATAGATCAATGGCCATCTATAAAATAATAACGTGTTTTAATACAATTTTTTTTATCGTGTCACAAATTTTCCCAACTTAATAAGTTAAATATTAATTTTATATTTAATATTAAAACTATAGTTCAACGAGTTTTTTGTACAAACACATATGTCAATTATAGATTTTCATATTAACATAACATGTCTATCCATTAAGTAAATTCATTAGATATTTAGATTTTATATTATATATTTTTTAAAGTCTCATCTCTTTTTTTAATATCGTAAATGAAAAAAATAATAATAATTGCGAAACGCAACCTTGTTAAAAATAATTAAAAGAATTTAAATGTGTAAAAGGTGAGAAAAAAAAGTGGTTGTAAATAGATAGAATGATATTTTTATTATTATTATTAAATAGATTGAAGAAGAAGGTGTCGGAGAACGGTTACAGTATTTGGCTTTTACTAAACTATTTAGCGTTTGTTGGATGTAGAAATTTGGGAGCTACGCACGTTGTCTTCCTGCAACTTTCAATTTGAACGCAAAACAAAGAGTTGCTCAAGTGTGCGTCATGTGGTGATGTATGCGAAATGCGATGCCACTTTCCCTCACTTTTACGTCTTCGTCTTGCCCCTCTCTTCTTTCGTTTAATTCTTCATTCCCTTTTTTTGATCGCCACCAGCTATTACTTTAAATCCCTTCTTCTCATTCTCTTCTTAAATCCTACTTTAAATCCCTGTAAGTATCTCTTTCTCTTTCATTCCTTATTTTTTTCACTCTTCAATTTCAATGCGCGTCCCTCGTCATTGGGTCTCTGTGCGGACGAGTAGCAAATTAGGTGAAGGGGGGAAAACCTCCTCCAAACTGCTGCTTCAAAACTCTGATTTTCATTTTTTATTTTTTTGTAAAATTAGTTTGAAAAATATCGTTGTTCTCCGGTGAAGTTCTGAAAAATTGTATTGGTTTGGGTCTTTCTTTCGGTTGGATCTGCATCTTCTGATTTATTGAATGATGTGATGATTAGGAATTTCTCTTGTTTCTATTACTTGCTTCTGATGGCCACTGTGGGGGAAGATTTTACAAGTTTTATTATTAACAAGTTGTATACTGTTTTCTTCATTTTGAGGAGCGAAGGAGACATGCGGGAGTTTTATTCTTTTTAATTCTTTTTCAAAAGGGAAGCTCCTATTGCCTTTGAAGTCCTGGGGGGTTGTTTGAAGTGCATTTCTCTCATGTTTCGTTGTTGTGACTAGCGAGTGATGAATCGTTGTCTGCTTAGACCGCTTTTTTGTCTCTCTTTAATTTTCACCGTATCGGAAGGGGTTATTTGATGGGAACAATGCCTTTTATTTTGAGAACTCAAATTTCCTCTTGGTGATTTGGTTTTCCTTGCAGATATTGAGTTTTGCTAGATATGGGTGCATTTTTCAGTGTGGCGAGTACAAAATCTGACAAAAGGGAATGGAATGGGGTCTCTCCAAATGAGACATGTAAGAGGCAAAAAATGTCTCTTACTGTTGATGAAGAGAGTCCAAGGCTAATTCCTAATCTCCCTGATGAGTTATCACTTCAGATTATTGCTAGACTTCCTAGAATTTGTTACTTAAATGTAAGGATGGTATCAAAGAAGTGGAAGTCAACTATCATAAATTCAGAACTGTATAAAGTAAGGAAAGAACTTGGGACAACTGAAGAGTGGCTTTATCTATTGATTAAGGTTGGAGAAAATAATCTTCGATGGCATGCTCTAGATCCTCGTTCTAAGATATGGCAGAGAGTGCCTAATATGCCCAATTTTGCTAATGAAGAAGAACCTAGAAAAGGTTCTTCAAGGCTTTGGATGTGGAACATGGTGGAGAGTATCAGGATTGCTGAAGTTATTAGAGGCTTTCTTGGACAGAAGGATGCATTTGATGAAATGCCCTTTTGCGGTTGTGCAATTGGAGCTGTTGATGGATGTCTATATGTTCTTGGTGGATTTTCTAAGGCTTCAACTATGAGATGTGCGTGGCGATTTGATCCGATTCATAATACATGGAGCAAGGTGACTTCTATGTCCACGGGTCGGGCATACAGTAAGACAGGCATCTTAAATAACAAGCTTTATGTTGTTGGAGGGGTTAGTCAAGGTCAAGCTGGATTGGTTCCCCTCCAATCTGCTGAAGTTTTTGACCCCTCTACAGATACATGGTCGCATGTACCTAGTATGCCATTCTCTAGAGCTCAAGTCCTTCCCAGTGTTTTTTTGGCTGACATGTTAAAGCCTATTGCCACAGGGTTGACCTCATACATGGGGAAATTGTGTGTTCCACAGAGTCTGTATTCATGGCCCTTTTTTGTTGATGTTGGGGGAGAAATCTATGATCCTGAAACTAACTCGTGGATAGAAATGCCAGCTGGAATGGGTGAAGGCTGGCCTGCACGGCAGGCAGGTACCAAATTGAGTGTTGTAGTGGATGGTGAATTATATGCTTTTGACCCTTCTAATTCTATGGATAGTGGAAGGATCAAGGTATATGACCAACGTGAAGATGCTTGGAAAGTAGTTATTGGAAAAGTTCCTATATACGATTCTGCTGATTCAGAGTCTCCATATCTACTTGCTGGTTTCCATGGAAAGCTCCATGTCATTACAAAAGATGCCAATCATGATATTGCTGTTCTACAGGCAGGCTTGCGCAATAATTTGGATTCCTCATTATCACTCTCAACTCTGTCACAAAGTACACTGCATGAATCTCCAGAACTAGCTTCTGAATCAGATGCAGCAGTTGTTTGGAGGGTGATTGCCAGCAGGGATTTTGGGCAGGCCGAATTAGTCAGTTGCCAAGTTATTGACATATAGATAGAAAATCGAGCAATAAATGTGACAAGCAGAGGATGTATCTGTTTGTTGGCAGCCACACGAGTTAGCCTTATGGGAATGGGATTGGTTCCATTTGTGTTTTGAGTCAGGTGCTAGCAAAACAGCGAGTGCTGTAAAAGTTTGCAATAGGTAAATAGTGCTGCACCTATTTATCTTTTCATACCAGGTAAATAAGTGCCATAGGACTTGTCAATTTCGATATTGATATGCCAGAATAATATCGGTGTCTTAAGATTGCAGCAGAGAGTTTAGGCTTGTTTAAGGAATTAAAAAAAAAACAAAAATATAGTTTTTTTATGAAAAATGTAATTTTCATGTTAATAATACACTTTCGTTGTTATTTTTACATTTTATTTATTTTTAAACTAACTTTCGTTTTAAAAAAATATTTTATGTTATTCTGGAAATAAAAATACTATTTATTAAAAAAAATCTTATTAATTATTATTTTATCAAAATATTTAATTGATTAACAATTACACTTTTTTTTTATTAAGAATAGTTAAAGGGGATTAAATAATGTGGCTTAGTGTGTCTGGCTGCATATGTTTTAAAATAAAAGAGATAAATAAAATAACAATTAATATGATTAATAATATTAATGAAAAAAAAGAGAGTAAAAACATTGTGGGTTGTAGAAGAGATATTTTTCAAAAACAAATGGTATCACGTCATCATCCATATGATGGAGGGACAAATGAGACGCATTATCTAAAGGTCCATGCACATGCCATGCATTTATTGAAAGGATTTTTTTTCCCTGAGAATGAAAAAATTAAATATTATTATTAGATTTTATTATGAATAATTAGGAATAAAATAATTAGCCTATGGAAGATTTTTAAAAGGTTGTGTAACTTTTTAAGTAGTTAAATGGTACTGAATTTTGATTATTTATGTTATGTATCAGTATATGATTTAAACATATTTCTTCAATTTTCGTGTAAAAAAGAGCTTAGCACAAAAAGAGGAGAACCGTTTTTATAAAAATAAAAATATATATTTAAATCAAGATTTAATATTATGTCATCAGATGAAAAAATGTTTATATGATTTAAAAGTGTGTTTTAATGAATTTTATACGATATAATTATAATCAGCTTTGATATGCTGTTATCATAAAATTTAATAAAAAAATAAATTAAAACTAATATTAATAAGAGAACGTAGTTAGAGAGATTTTAATAATTTTTAAAAAAATCAATAATTAAATAAAGTAGTTTAATTTTTTCCTTACCATTAAAACATAGATTAAATAGAAAATTTATATATTTCAAACATGGTTTCTAATCAATCATAATCTCTATTTTATATATTCCTTGACTTTTCTTTCAAAAATTATTCGTTCAATTATTTTCTTTTAGATGTTAGAATTTTATATCTCTATGTTTCTATCTCTATGTTTCTTTCAAAAATTATTCATTCAAAATCTATATAGGTAATAAAATACTAGTTAGAATTTTATATCTCTATATTTCTATCTCATGAGAATTTAAATTCACTTTGTGTTGTTAATCCATTTTTAATAATATTTTAAGCTCACATTCAACTTACAATTATCTTAAAAAATTATCTTATTTTGTATGTACTTAGAGTAGGAAGAATCCCAATAGCAAACATGGACAATGTTCAGTATTTCGGAATTTTTTAGAGTTATATAAGCTGTTTTGGCATGAGGTCTGAGCCAAAATTTCAATAACTTAATTATCTACAATATTGATGAAAGAAATAAATTCAAATACCTTATAGAATAGATGCAGTTTTCAGTGGTTGTTTCCAACTAGGCTCAACTACAATAACACTTTGAACATGTCTTGGTAATTGGATTATAACTCATGCTACACATAAGCTATTAACATGAAACAAAATTATAAATTTTGGGAATATAGTTTCCTACAACTTTTATGAAGGAATCAAGTCCTAACTTCACACGTATCAATCTTAGTAATTCAAAAACCGAGGCTGTTGAAACAGTGATACCTCTTAACGTCACAACTAGAACACTTGAAACAAAAAAGGGCATAACTTGACCTACAAATATCCGTTTAATGTGAAACAAGTTTCTAAATTTCTACAATTTAAAGAGCTACAACTTTCATAAAGATACTAATTTCTAATTCTGTTCACACAAGTCCCAGAAATTCAATGAACAGTACCTACGAATTAGGGTTCTTAAAGTTTTTAGCTTAACCACTTCTAATCCTCAATTTTAAACATTATTCTAGTATCTTAGGTGTAAAACCTACAATAACACTCATCCTACTCTCATTCAAGCGAGGAGAAAAATTGAAAATATACCGTTTTGAAAAATAAAACCATAGAAATGTAGAGGAGATTGAGAGAAACAAACTTACCTCTTGGAGCTCCTCAAGAAAATCAAGATTTCCCCCTCAAAATCAAGCTTGAAGGTAAGGAAAGTTTTGAGAGAAATGAGGAACCTACGAGCACAATGACACTCGTGGATATGAGGCCGCAAGTAATAGAGAGGTTTCAAACCACAATCCGTTCAGTAGATTATATTACAAAAATTTATCCATTATTTTCTCTTTTTTACTCTAGTCAGGATTTAAACCCACAACAACCCTTAAGATTCAAGTATTACTCCAAATCATATCAACCATCATATGTTTCTTGTCAACTCATACACATAATAAACTTTTAATGTACTCACACTCAATGCATATAAGAAAACAATAATTTCTAAATGTGACAATTAAAATTGTTAAGTTTATACTCAGGTACACACATGAGTATTTTCTAACAACTATAAAATAATAGAAAAATTATAATTGTTTCAATGCACATACAAGAATCGAACTCATGACCCTCAAATCTTATGACAAGGGTCTAACCAAATGATTCACTCCTCATCTTTACAATATTATTAAATTCTTAATTTAATTACTTCTCTTATTTTCAATTTCTACCTTAAAACATATAATTACTATCTGGCACCCAGTTGCCTGCAAAACGGGTCAATTTTGAGTATTTTCTAAAAATTCCAGAAAATCATAAATAATCTAATAAACATAAAACTCTACAATCGCTTTATCCAATTCCTAATAATTTAATTATTAAAATTTTGATAAAGATTTTGTCAAAATTTAACAAATCAGAGGTATTGAGAATTAGGATGTTACAACTCTCCCCCCTTAAATAAATTTTGTCCTCGAAATTTGTGTACCTGAAAGGAACAATTGAGGATAAGATTCTCTCATCTTTTCCTCTAACTCCCAAGTAACATCTCCATCTCCTGCTCCACTCCAAATAACTTTAACCAAAACTATTTCTTTTCCACGGAGTTGCTTAATCCTTTGATCAACGATTTGGATAGGCAGTGTTTCATAAGTAAGATTGTCTCTAATTTGAATAATGTCTAGTTCAAGTATATGAGAAGGGTCTGAAATATATTTTCTTAATTGTGACACATGAAAAACATTGTGGATGTTAGAAAGAAAAGGAGGTAGAGCTACTTGATAAGCTATTGGACCAATCCTCTTCATTATTTGGTACGGGCCAATAAACTTAGGCGTGGGTTTCTTTGACTTCATTGCTCATCCAACCCCAATTGTAGGCATGACTCGCAAGAACACATGATCTCCTTCTTGAAACTCTAGAGGTTTTCTCCTTTTGTCATGATAACTTTTTTGTCGTCTTTGAGTTGCTCTCATCTTCTCTTGAACTAATTTAATCTTCTATGTGATCTGTTGCACTAATGCTGGACCTAGAAGTAAGTTTTCACATGTCTCGAACCAACATAATGGTGTTCGGCATTTCCTTCCATAAAGAGCTTCAAATGGGGTCATCCCAATGCTAGCGTGAAAACTATTGTTGTATGTAAATTCAATCAGTGGTAAGAACTTATCCCAACTTCCTTTGTGATCCAACACACAAGCTCGTAGTAGGTCCTCCAAAGATTTAATGGTTCGTTCTGATTGTCCATCAGTCTGAGGATGATAAGCAGAACTTAGTCGAAGCTTTGTCCCAAGAGCTTGATGAAAACTTGTCCAGAACCTTGAGGTGAAACAAGGGTCTCTATCTGACACAATACTAGCAGGTATGTCATGCAATCTTACCACTTCCTTAATGTACAATTGAGTCAGCTTCTCCAAAGAATAATGAATGTTGATGGGAATAAAATGAGCAGATTTCGTCAATTTGTCAACTATTACCCACACAGGATTGTGACCAGTTGGTGTTCGAGGTAATGAAGTTACAAAATCCATAGCTATGCTATCCCATTTTCATTCTGGCACATTTAATGATTGTAACATCCCTGATGGTCTTTGATGTTCTACTTTGGCTTTTTGACACACCAAGCAAGCTGCAACATACTCTACCACTTCCTTTTTCATCCTAGGCCACCAAAATATTTTCTTCAAATCTTAATACATCTTTGTTGTTCCAGGATGAATACTCATGTTACTCTTATGTGATTCCTCCAAAACGGTCTTTCACAATTCCTGACAAGAAGGGATACAAATTCATCCTTTGAAACATAAGATTCCATCTGTCTCTTCCACAAATTCTATTTTTTTCCCTTGTTTAACTAATTCCTTCTTCTCACAGAGAAAAATATCCTCTAATTGAGCTTCTTGTACTTGTTGTAGAAAATCACTAATGATAGTGAGAGTACCACACGTAACACTTTTGAAACTAAACTCAATTGCTAAATTCAGACTTTGGAATTTTTCGATCAATTCCATTTCTCTTATCATCATAAATGCTGCATGTAAAGATTTTCTACTAAGTGCATCCATAACTACATTCCCTTTTTCGGGATGATACTACAATTCAAACTCATAGTCTTTCAAAAATTTCATTCACCGTCTTTGACGCATATTCAATTCCTTTTGATCAAAGAGATATTTCAGGTTCTTATGATCACTATACACTATGAATTTTGCTCCATACAAATAGTGTCTCCAAATCTTCAGAGCAAATACTACTGCAGCTAATTCTAAATTATGGGTGGGATA